GCTGGGGCAGCACAGCTCAGGTGAGTCTCCCAGGCCCTCAGAGCACCCAGCCTTGGCACCCCAGGACACCAGGGGGGTCCCCAGCCCCGTGCCTCAGTTTCCCCAAATCAGTTTCCCTCCCTGCAGCTGCTGCCCTGGATCATCAGCAAGAAGGGGGCTGTGGACACAGAGGACGTGGGGACGGGGCCACCAGGGCCACCAGGGCCACCAGGGCCACCAGACCCTGCTCCTTCCAAGGAGGGGGAGGAGGAGGAGGGTGAAGATGAGGATGAAGATGACTGGTGGAGCAAGTTCTATGCAGCCATGGGGGACAAGGAGAAGAGTGGGAAGGGGACAAACCAGGATGGGCTGAAGGTGAGTCAGGCTGGGACCTGGAGCAGGGGACAAGGATGGGGACAAGGATGGGGACTGGGATAGGAATGAGGCAGGAGATTGGGGCAGGGATGGTTGGGGACAAGGACATGGATGGGGCTGGGGGTGGAGGAGGGACAGGGATGAGGACATGGACAGTGAGGGAGGTGAACTGGGGTTGGGATGGAGACTGGGATGGAAATGGGGTGGGGACAAAGTTAGGGATGGGGACTGGGATGGAAATGGGATAGGGACAAGGTCAGGGATGGGGACAGGGATGGAAATGGGATGGGGACAAGGTCAGGGATGGAGACTGGGAGAGGAACAGGCTGGGGACAAGGTCAGGGATGGGGAAAGGGCTGGGATGGGGACAAGGGTGAGGAAAAGGCCCGGGCCAAGGGCAGGACCTGCTGCCCAGATCTACAGCTGTGAGCTGGAGGCTGTGCCTGAGTTTGAGGGGCTCCAAGATTTCTGCCAGACCTTCCCCCTCTACCCACCAGGGGGTCACCCCATCCCGGGGGGGGATCACCCCACTCTGGGGGAGGACCCCGTGGGTGAATTCAAGGTGGGTGAGGACCCCTGAGAGACCCCAGAGCCTGGGTGGGGGCACCTTGGGCTGCACGGCCGGGTGGGTCTCCCAGGGGCTTTTCCGTCTCTACCCCCTGCCCGAGGACCCTGGGGTGCCCCCCCCACCCCGACACTTCCAGGAGCTGCCCCCGAGTCACCCCCAAAAGTGCCTGGTGAGGGTCTACGTGGTTCGGGCCTTCGACTTACCCCCCCGGGACAGGAACGGGCTGGTAGGGACACCCATGGGTGCTGGGTCCCCTCTGTGCGTCCCCCTGCCACCCTGAGGTTCCCCTCTGTGCCATCCCCTGCCACCCTGAGGTTCCCCTCTGTGCCATCCCCTTGTGCCACCCTGAGGGTGCCCTCTGTGCCATCCCCTTGTGCCACCCTGAGGGTCCCCTCTGTGCCATGCCCTTGTGCCACCCTGAGGGTGCCCTCTGTGCCATCCCCTTGTGCCACCCTGAGGGTCCCCTCTGTGCCATCCCCTTGTGCCACCCTGAGGGTCCCCTCTGTGCCATGCCCTTGTGCCACCCTGAGGGTGCCCTCTGTGCCATCCCCTTGTGCCACCCTGAGGGTCCCCTCTGTGCCATCCCCTTGTGCCACCCTGAGGGGCCCCTCTGTGCCATCCCCTTGTGCCACCCTGAGGGTCCCCTCTGTGCCATCCCCTGCCACCCTGTGCCACCCTGAGGGACCCCTCTGTGCCATCCCCTTGTGCCACCCTGAGGGTGCCCTCTGTGCCATCCCCTTGTGCCACCCTGTGCCACCCTGAGGTCCCCTCCCTGCTGGCAGTGTGACCCCTACATCCGTGTGTCCCTGGGGAGGACCTCGCTGGGCCGGAGGGACCAGTACGTGCCCAACACCCTGGAGCCCGTTTTTGGCAGGTGGGTGGGTGTCCTGGTGACACTGTCACCCCTGGGTGGCACCGGGCTGGGGGGGCCTGGCACCCTGGGGGAGCTGCTGGGGGCTCATTCCCCCATCACCCTGTGCCAACCTGGCCCTGGGCCACCAGCTCCCTGGGCCACTGAGTCACTGTGCCCCTGCACCCCTGGCACCAGCTCCCTGTGCCACCAGCTCCCAGTGCCACCAGCTCCCCGTGTCACCAGCTCCCCGTGCCACCAGCTCCCCGTGCCACCAGATCCCAGTGCCACCAGCTCCCCATGTCACCAGCTCCCCATGTCACCAGCTCCCAGTGCCACCAGCTCCCAGTGCCACCAGCTCCCACTGTCACCAGTTCCCCACGTCACCAG